CCACGACCGCTGATGTCATTTCGCGCTGCGCGACCTGACATCACCACCCTCAACCCTCGTCCCCCACGACGACCGCGCGCCCCCAAAAGCGCAGGTCCGCCGTCGTCTGCCCCCCCCCTCGTGCCCTCGGCGAGACGGTACTCCCCGTCCGAACAGAGACGCCGCGAGCAGCGGTATAAGGAGTACATGTTAAGACGTTGGGGGGTGGTCATCGGCGAGACAACAACCACAGCAACAACAACCACAACAACGACACCAGCAGCAGAACCTGGTCCAGCAGAGGAGCCAATGGAGCTGGAGGAGAACCTATTAGAGGACGTCATCGACATATTCCTCTCCTGTCCCCCATCTCCTGACCACGCTAAGGAAAAAGAAGAATAAACAACACCCTCCACCACTCTCGTTCGCGTTATGCCATCGACCACCACCAAGCGCGATCACGCGCGAACAACCAGCTCGTCAGGACAAACAACGTAAGTATTTGCGGCCTTCACCGTGATAGGCGGTATAATTAGCTATTTATCCCAATTGATAATCGCGCCATGCGTATTCGATTCACTGAGTAGACCGGTGGCTTGGCGGGGGGGTATTTGACACGGACCGCGTCGTTCTCTATACACGGAACCCCGCGACCCGTGACACCTGTATCAGCCGCCGCCCTACTACGTGCATATGGTAGTTTGACTGACTAACACCGCGTGCGATACGCCACGGTACAAAGTCCAGCAAGTGCCGCACGTCCATCTACGACCCGCCGCAAATATACGTTAAGTCATCTCCGTGACACCGTTAGACACACATCGGCCTTTTTCCTCATCGACACAATCAGTGTCTATCTCGTGTCCGTTTCATTTTAACTTGTGTTTTTCTTCTTTAGTTATCGTGTATATTATTTATAATAACTTAAAGTGTATTTATATATAACATATGTTTAACATTGTTCGAATAAACGGCACCGCACAAACTCTGTAACTATAATCGTGTCGACTACATTATTTATCTGTCCTTATCACGACGTTTAAGTTCTGTCACTATATTTATAGAATCTTTTCCGAGCTTGACACAATCATTCTCCAAAAAAAGTAAAAATAAGTATCATGGGAATAAAAACAGTGTCCAAACTATCAACCCGCATTTTGTCTCTAATAATAGTAATGATTGGTCTTCTCCCAAAGGTTCGTTTCTCGAATACATGTCCACTAACTCCTATGCTCAACCTGCTGAGAAATCCTGGATCACTTCTTTGGCTAATCAACTCTCTTCAGATGTATACAATATTCCTTCCTCTACATTATCATCCCCCTCAACCCTTATTCAATTAATTGAGTCTCACATCCTTAACTTTCTCTCTTTATCATCTAATAACAGTTTGCAGTAACTTACTCATTTCATCACATTTTATCATCATTATTGTTTTATTTTATTTATTTATTTTTTCTTACTCATTATCTTTATGACTTCTTATGTATATGCTTTTGTCTATGTGCGTATTTATGCAATATATACACGCATATATGTTTATGTACGTACACTTGTCTCCTCACTTGCCTGTGTAAATTTTTATTTACTTATTTTATCCTATTTATGTTTATATTATTTGACATGAAATTAAGGTTTATATGTATCTGTCATTTATTTACTTATTCCCTTTTCCTTTCTCTTTTTACTTTTACTACAATAACTAAATGTTAAATATTTTGCAATGGAATATTAGAAGTATCTTATCTAGAACACAAAATCTTGCATTTCTTACCCACCAAAATAAATGCCAAATTGTTCTACTCTCGGAAACTTGGTTACTTCCAAATAAAAATTTTCACCTTTCAAATTTTAACTCGGTCCGCTCTGACCAACAAGATGGTTATGGCGGTGTCGCCAACTTGATTCATTCCTCAATTCAATTTCGTCCCATTACACTTAATAACAATCCGAAACAAATGTTCAGTACCTTTTCAATCGACCTAGTTGGTATCAATGTATTAATGCCGGACAATAACACCTTTCAACTATGGTCTATTTACATTCCTCCTTCATCTAATCCTTCTAATTTAATAGTTTCTGAAATTTTTAAACTACACTCCAACAACTCCATTATTGCAGGAGATTTTAATGGTCATCATTCTGCTTGGGGTTCACTAAACTCCAATTATAGAGGCAATATTATTCACTCAACCATCAGTCAGCATAATTTATGTATTCTGAACACAAGCGCTCCAAGTAGAGCTAACCGGCCACCGTTCCCGGATACTGCTGTTGACCTAACAATATGCTCCCCTAATATTTCCTTGTCCTCTTCTTGGTATGTTTTGGGTGATCCTCACGGTAGCGACCACTATCCTATTGTAACAAGTCTTTTTATACAGCCCACTCAGAGTATGGGTCGCTTTAACTGTGACTCCAATGTTTCAGATAACTTAAGGTTTAATTTAGACATAGCAGATTGGATCTCTTTCTCTCTAATTGTCTCTACCTTACTCGAATCTTGGTCTGAATCCACCTCCCCTACAATAAATTATAACAATTTTGTTGATATCCTAATAAAAGCTGCAAAACTTTCAATCCCGCGTAAGCGTTCGAACAATATAGGTTTTAGCTATTCTCCTCCTTGGTGGAACTCACCCTGCACCACTGCAGTTAAAATGCGCCCTTTCATTTCAAAAAATACAGATCCTCAGGTTCTCTTCATGACTTTATAACATATCAAAAATCAAAATCCAACACAACCAAAATTCTAAAAAAGGAAAAAAAAACTCTTGGTTAAATTTATGCAGCAATCTACACCCTTCAACGTCCATCTCTGAATTTGGACCATAGCTAAGAAATTCAAAAACTGTATAAATCGTCCTTCTTCCACCACCAACAATGACTGGTTTGACGACTTTTGTAATAGAATGGCACCTCCTTACGTTCCTGCTCTTGACGAACTTGAATTACATTTTTCAGACAATTTAGTAAATAATAGTAATAATAGCTTCCTTTCCTCTCCTTTCAGTCGTCACGAACTGTCCTTTGCTATCTCTTCAAGGAATCTGCTACTGCTGGCTTGGATAATATTTCTCCTTTTTTTTTTAAACATCTTCCAATAAAAGCCTTTGATATTCTTTTAACTATCTTAAACATTTTATGGATTAACAATATCATTCCTGAGTCTTGGAAGTACTTCAAAGTAATTCCTATCCCTAAAAGTGGTGCTGCTACTAACGCATACCGTCCAATCGCCCTTTCATCCGCTTTCTGCAAATTGACAGAATTTATGCTAAAAACCCGTCTGGATTGGTATCTGGAATCCAACTCCCTACTATCTTCTAACATCTTTGGTTTTCGACGTGGACTGGGCACAATGGAATGCCTATCCTCTCTTGTTGGTCCCGTGTACCATTCGTTTTGTAACCGCCAATTTACAACAGCCGTCTTTGTTGACGTTCGCGGTGCATTTGACTCTGTTAACATCCCTCTTCTTGTTACACGTCTACTCACCATCAACATTCCTATATCGGTGTGCAAATTTATCTTTTCTTTTTTTAAATGCCGCCTCCTTCACTTTAAATCGCCGTTTGGTCCCTATTACCAACATATTACTTATAGAGGTCTTCCTCAAAGTAGCTGCCTCAGTCCTATTTTATTTAACATATATACTGCTGATATAAGCAAATCACTCACACCTAATAATTTCTCTAGTTTACTTTACGCCGATGATATAGTTATTTTCTCTTCCCATAGTTCACTCCAGGTTACTGTATCGAATATAAATAATGCACTCCAGATCCTCTCCTCTGTACTCCAGCTTTCCTATTTTGAATCTGCTCCAGAAAAAAGCAAAGCTATAATATTTACTTGAAAACACATCCTACAACACCCTTCAATTTTGCTTGATGGAGTTAGCTTATCCTTCTCTGATTGTGTTACTTACCTCAGACTCAAACTAGATCAGAAACTCCGCTGGATGCCTCGCTTTAAGTACCTCATCTCTTCCATATCACGCTGGTCTAATCTTCTACGTTCTATTGCAGGCACCTGGTGGGGCTCCCACCCCTCCTCACTCTTACTTATTTTTAAGGCTCTTATCCGTTCTAAAGTTGACTATGGTTCCTTTTTATACGCCTCGGCTTCCACTGTTCATCGTAAAAAAATCAATTCTCTACTCGCTGCTTGTTTACGCACAATTATAGGTGCAGTTTACTCTACCCCTAATATGAGTTTAGAAGTTGAATGTGTATGCCCTCCAATTGAAATTCGATCTCATTACTTAGCCCATAAATTCCTTTTAAAACAGATATCCAGTCCTGCCAAGTTAATATTTCATTGTTTTCATTCACTAAGCTCACTTTGGCGATATGTACCCAAAACTCTTCCTCTACTAGCCTCAATTTCTACTACCTTGATTCCTTACCTTAATTCCATAATTACCTTAATCAATCGCCTATCTATATACGACATTCCATTTCATGCACTTACTCATTTTCCAAAAATTCACTTTAATCATCTATTTCTTTCTTATAGTAAGCCTCAATTACAATCTCTCCCGACTAATTTCGTCAATTATCTTTTGATGAACTCATTTCCTCTCGTTTTGCTAACTATTGCCTCATATTCACTGACGGCTCAGTTTATAGTAATTCCGCCGGCTTTTCCTTTTTTATTCCTAGTCTAAACATGAATTTCTCAGATAATCTCCCTTCAAAAGCTTGTTCATTTACCACCGAATCTTATGCGATATCCTCGACTCTCGAATTCGTCAAATCGCTCAATATAATAAATGTTCTGATTGTCTCGGATTCACTGTCAGTTTTATCATCTCTTTCCTCAGTTCCTTTTAAAAAAAGTAGATCCTTCCTCATAATGAAAATTAAAGCCTTAATTTATAGTCTCTATTTAATGGACATCAATATTGAATTTTTATGGTGCTCTAGTCATGTCGGAATATCTGGCAATGAGATAACAGACCATCTAGCCAAACTGACTAACTCCTTCAACAGACCACCTATCCTAAAAACTCCCTTTTCCGATCTCCTTTCCTCTTTTCTTCCAACTATTTATAAAGCATGGCAAGATAAATGGTCAAATTTTTCTTTAGCTAACTGGCATAAATCTATAATTCCAACTATCACTAAACGTCCTTGGTTTTACAACCTCCCTCTGTCCCGTTTCCATATTATCTCTTTTTCCCGTCTTAGATTTGGTCATAATCGGTTACCTAGTCATGCCTTTAACATGTCTCTAAACCATTCCCCCTTCTGCCCCAAACACAATGATGAAGTCTCCTGTAATTTTCCTCATTTACTATTTGATTGCCCAGCTTTACAACATAACCGTTTACTCTTGTTCAATTTCCTGTCCTTCCTTAATATTTCACCCATTAATAATTTTAATATCCTTAATACAAAATCCTCCTCAATAATTATACTTATAATTTCCTTCGTTCATTCAGCTGGCTTCGTTATATAATATTTTTCTGTATGTTAATTTAATATCCTAGATCTTTTTTGTTTTGTTCTTTTTTTTTTTAGTATTTTGAGTATGTTTAATTTATTAATTTAACGATATGTTTAATTGTGTATAATAACAATTTTTTTTTTCTCTTTTGTATAGTCTTAGTTTCTATTGTATAGTGTTATCTTAATCGTTTAGCTATAATAATACTTCTGTATTGAAAGCTAATAAAAAAAAAAAAAAAATGGTCTAGACTTAAAACCTATTAATATAATCCAGTTATTTACGAATAATTTTTAATTATATTTATTTTAATTATAATTATATTGTTTGTTATAATTTGTTTTGCATATGTAAATTACTTCATTATGTTATGGGCTATGACTATTTCGTCATCTTCTTATTTTTTAGTTAATGACTATAGGGATTGTAACTATGATTTGAGATTATGTTATGTAGTCAATTCTTTCTGTTCTTTAATTTTCTTTCTTCACCTTACGTGAGTTGACAGGTCCTCGGGTGTGGTCAGGGTGGACATGGTGAACATCTAAATGGGTCCCCTACATTTATGTCCATTTTACCCTGACCCACACGATGGATCTGTCATACTCACGTTACTCTCCTGTTTTCTTTGTTTTCTCTTGTTGGTACATTATTAAATTAATTAAATGATCCAGTTAATAGTTGATATGTCGAGTCGTTCTGAAATGGACTGTTAAATACTGATTATGTGTAATTATACAATTCACAAAATACAAAGGTCGTTCTGAAGCCTGTATGTCTGTAGACATTTAGTTCTAATTGTAATAAATCATAATGTTACCGCTATGTGTGCCAAATAATGCATGTAAATAAAAGATAATTTATTGGGCAGGAATCATATTAACTGGATCTGTTTTCATTCACCTGTTTCTGTTATGACTCGTGGTTTCATATTTATTAACTTAGGCTTCCTATTCATATTTTCTTTTAGAATCCTTGACCATCATTTATTTGTTTATAGTATTTTAATTCACATACTGTTAATTTGATTCAATATATTTTATTTATTAATATGCTTTAATTGTTCATTAAAAATTTTTTGTCATAATAATAAAAAAGAAAAAAGACAATGAACTTATAATAATTAATACATTTTAATCATTGTTATCATAAAGAATTCCTATTTTTCATTACCTTTCCACATAGAATAAGGTACAAAATCCCTGGTGCTCCGGCTTTGCCTCGGCCCAGGGTAGACCCTTCTTGGGGTCCTTGTAAAGTTAGGCTGATCTTTATTAGTTTAGCTTACAATATATAAACAGATTCATTGTATATTATAAAAGTTATTTTGTAACATAATTTTTTTAGATTAATTTATTATAGAAATTACATTTTAAGAGGATTTCTGTATGACCTATATTTATATCGACTAAAACATGACAGACGATCAGCCGTTTATCTTAGGTCATAATATAATAGATTGAATATGAATTTGAAATACATATAAATATAAATATTACTATTTTAGTTTCTATATCATATGTGCATTATACTAATTTGTTCAATAATTTTCTACAAGATACTTGAACTCATCATAATTTATATCATTGCAGAATCACATTCTAAATTGCAAATCTGCTGTTTATTCCAGTTGACTTTTAATTAATTTATCATCTGTCTGAGTTTAAGTACATAAGAGATCATCTCATTAATAAAATGGTTTACGTTATAATTTATTATTTTTATCGCAAAATCAATTGATATTTAATAATCAGTTCAGTTTAATTCTCGCATATTGTCAAACAGTCGTATATGCATCATAATAAAAAATAAAAAAACAATGTCTGAAAATAGTGAAATTATAGAAATAAGTTCTGATAGTGAAGAAATTATTAGATTATCGGATATTTTAAACGGTTAGTAAATAAAAAAATTAAAATAATAACATTGCATAATAATAATTTCAACCATAAAATTATAAATATAATTATTTTAGATGATACTGACGAATTTAGTGAGATGGAAGATGCAGACATTACTGATCAATCTGAGACATTCATTGTAATAAATAATATAATACCTATAAATTGTAAGTGTAAATGTTAAAATAACGGTGAAAATAATAATTTCATATATGTATACAGAGTGATTAATTAATGTTCTAAAATTGATACAATCTCACCACGGGAATCTTTGGACCGTTGACTTCTGGGACACTGACATGACTGTTGCTCTATGGACTGACAATGGTAACATGGATGACGTTCATCTCGACGAGCTGGACAGGAACTTGAATAGTGGCCAATGGATCACAATTGAAACATCTAACATTGGCGTTACGATCACTTGGACGGCTGGATATCCTCGGCGTAGACTGACTAAATTGAAGTGGTGGACTGGGTGGTCTAAGCTCAATAGTAGGGAGCTCTCGATTAAAAGATACTCTAAATCTATGTTGGCTGGTAACTTGCGTGTAACTCTTAATTGATCCTGCGGTTCGGAAACGGTCTTGACGACCATTATCAATTTTTTCATAATTTCTTATGTCAGTTAAAAGTTCATCTTCGTTTTTATGGTCACGAGCAAGCAAATAGTGACAGAAATCCCTTGAAAATAAACCTTCCACTATCTGTTGTTTACTTTCATCAAACTTCAGGTTAATGTCACGGCAAAGTTGCATTTTGTGATAAAAATATTGAAAAATGCAATCATTCTTTAATTGTAATCGATTGGACATGAGACGAACTCGATCGACTGTATCGAGACGGCACCGTTTGGCAATCTAACAAGGTTTCCACTCTTGGATCCGTAAGGATGATTGGAGCTTTCTTCTGAGTATGACGAGTACCTCCTAGCGGTGAACGGCGGTAACGAGCGTTGGTGATGTCTGAGTAAATCGCATACTCCAACGTTCAGCCAAAATTACATCAAAGCTCGGTCATACAGCAATGTGTGGCTGAGGAGCGGGCCTGCACTTGATTGAGTGGGTTAGACGGCTCCCTGGCCCAACATTTAATATGTCGGCAAACCGGGGAAGGTCTTTCATTAGACCTACCAGCCGGTAAAGGCGCGGGGTTCCGTCTACTCTGAGTCCCAAAAACCTCCTGAAATCTGGGTGGATAAAACTGGCTGCGGATGGGTTGGCACGCAAGAGGTAAAAAAGTCGTGTGTAGAGGAAACCTCACACCCTTGGGGAAGGTGTGAGAACAAGTCCTATAGTGTTTGTGAGAGGCGCAGACAAGCACTATTATCGAATTAGTCGTCCTCGGTGCGTGGGAACAGAATGGAGAGACAAAATAAAAAAACCAATAAAAATGCAGGAGAGATATTTATTAGTGAAGATGAGGAGAGAGTGGCGGAGTTCTTCGAAACTCCGTACACGAAAAAAGAAAGGTAGACGAGATAGAGGTGGAACTAATTCCTCCGGATCTTTGGGTATCGGATAAGATCTTAACCTCGGTTACGATGCGTGAGTAAACTCGCGCAGCCACTATTCAGTCAGAGAATGGAGTGATAGGATCAGGTCGATTGTGGTTGACATGAAAGTTGCCAAAAAGAGCATGACGAGGGAGAGGGAAGGCGAAATTGAGGCGGTCCGCAAAGGATGGTTGAAACTGGTCGACTGGAAAAACTTGTATTCAATCAAATGACACTTGCGGGAAATCTCATTGAAGTCAGAGCTCTACAAAACTCTCGTCTTGGTCTGGACGGCACTTTTGCTGAACAGGGTCGGGAAACGTGGCTTGAATACGACGGATACTCTCCGCCTATTCAATTACGAAGATGGCGACCATTTCGGTAGTTCAAGACAAGGGAGTAGAGAAACAGAGGAAGAGAAATAAAAGAAAGTAAAAGCGAAGAAGCCAAAGCTTTGAACAGAAGACAGTAAGAGATAGAGGGACTAGAAAGAGAATATAGGGTAAAAAGAAACAATTATACGAGGATTCGAAGGAAGGAGAGGATAGAATGTGGAAAAAGTTCGCCACGGAAGAGGGAAATGAAAGACCTTGGGAGTCCGCGTACAGGTGGTGCAAGGAAGACATGAGAATCGAAACCCGGGGGGTGTTGGCTACTCTTCGAAAGGAAAGTGGTAGATACACCGTGGGTCTAGAGGAAACTGCCCAACTGCTCCTCAGAACGTTGGTACAGCCGGATTCGGAAGTAGGTGAGACCGAACAACATGTCAGGTTCAGACAGGAGACGGACATGTTTCTAGGGATCACTGAACCTGACGAGGGCGCTGCTAGCGGTTTGGAACACTGGTGCAAATTCTCGGAGGAGAAGTGATAAAACCATGGAGAATGGGGAGAGACAAGGCCACGGGATATGATGGTGTAACAGCCAGAGTACTCCGCGTAGCATGTCCAGTGATATTGGAAATAGTGACCACTCTTTTAAATAAGTGTTGAAGTATAGGACAACTACCAAGATGTTGGAAAATAGTCGTAGTGGTCCCTCTATTTAAGTCTTAAGACAAGGACAAATCAAATCCCAAGTCATATCGGTCGATCACTTTTTGTGCTGTCAAAAGCATTGGAGTCCTTGATATGCAGTAGACTGAGGGCTTTGACTAGTTCAAGGATGACTGACAATCAATACGGCTTTACTGAAAGAAGATCTACGACTGATACAATACTGAGAATGAAGAAAGAATGAAAATATTTAAAAATAAATTATTGTCATCTGACATTTAATTTTTTTTACTCATAACTTAATAAAAGTATCTCCAAAATGAACAGATATGAGTTTGGTTTGTTATTTGAAGTAATTAAATAACAATGGTATAATAGAATAGCATCTATCCTATATTGAAATGATACTGTGCACTTACAGTGTCAATTCATTAGTCAACATATAAAACATTGAATGAAGCACCATCTATTTACCCTCTTAATTTAAAACGGCATCATTGAGAGAATAGTTAAACTCGGCATAAGAGTAATAATCGATAGTTGATAATTAGTTAATCGATAGATTAGGTCATTTGATTCTGTGGTCTAGTCTTCTGCGCTAACAGTCTTCATTCAACGTTTTACATTGTAGCTGACAAGTGTAAGTATTCTAGTTATCTGTTATTGTAAACTAGCCTTTTTTGCTGCGCATATTTTAAAATGAATAAGTTATTTTTTATTCAAATTTGTTTAGTTTCTTATTAATATATTTTCAATATTGAAATTACGTGTTTATTAAAAAGGCCTTAAATATATTGTTAATATTGAATTAATAATTTTAATATAATGCGTCTTTAATTTATGAGGCTTTACTAAGGTAAACTCTAATGCCAGTGTTAGATATAAAGAGACCCAAAGAAATTATGGTTTTTTGGGGCTTTATTAAATTTTTTTATTATAATTGAGACCTTTTCTTTTACTTTTTTTCTAATTTTGTTGGACCAATAGTTGGTTGCATTAGGTCCGGCAAAAGAAATCGCGTTGCCTAGTGCAAAACAATTCTGTAGCTAATATCTATAAATTTGTTTTGTCAAAAAAATGTGTTTTTTAGCTTTGTAAAATACATGTCACTCGTGTCTCTTGCATTCTAAGCCCCTTATATCGCAGTACGAGTATTTTGTACTAAATATTTTTATTTTTTCTATGGCTTACTGATTTTTAGCTCTTGTTTTTCTGTTTACAAGACTCATAGCCACAAAATTGTGTATCTAAAATAGAATGTTTAAGAGTGCTGAGTGTATTTTATTTCACCGTAAAAAATACTTTAAATACAAATATATCTACAATATAACAAATGTCCACAATGTTTTAACAAATTAATAATTTTTAACCTGTTATTTTACGTTATTTTTTTTTTAAATATTTTTTAGTTTTGGTCTACGTTAAAAGCATATTTTTTTGATATTTATTTTTTATTTGTCTAATAAAAAAAAATTTTTTAATTAAAATTTCAAAAGAGTCATTTTTAGCCCTTTTTTTATACAAAAATGAATGGGTCAACAATAACTCTAGTACTTCTTCAGTTACAAACGATTTTACACAGTAGTGGTATACAGAGCGATTTTTTTATCATAACTCAACACTCAATTACTTACAGAATAGTTATAATTCAAACAATTTTTTTTTTTTTTTTGGTTATCATTAGTTACACATTATTCTTTAATTATCAACTAAGTAATACTTTTTAAGTTCATCCCTTATACTTTGTAAGGGTGTCAAATTTGTTTTTTTAAATGAGAACACATATTTTGAATTTAATAAAATGTTTGAGTTTTTAATTTAATAGTAAATAGCATATGTATTTTTAATATAACTTTATTATTAAATCCCTCGTGTAGTATATATGTATATTAACTCAAAAATTTGAAACTTTAAATAGTTAAATTATACATGTCAAAACTTGATAGAACATCCTATTTATATACATCAGATTCTGACATGAATTATGTATGTTATTATTAACCACATAATTTTCTAATTTTGTGAGGAGAGACTAAGGCCCCCTCTAAAACTCCTTAGTTACGCTATTGATAAGAGGGTCAACAATTTTTGAACCAATATAAATAAAATATAAATAAAATGTATTTTTCCATGTAAAATATTTAGAATGAACTTCACTTTTATAAATAGATTTTTAAAATATTTTTTTAATCTAATTAAAATTTAACAAAACAATTATTTGAATTACTAATTTTAATCTATCATATTTAAACAATATGATGATTGACATTTCACTAAGTTATATCTATTTTTTTAATTAATGAATCTTAATTAAAATTGTAAATAAGGAGGTTAATGTCATTATAACTCCTTTTATATTATCTATAGACCTATGTCTAATTATTATTTTTTTGTTCTAGATGTATTTTACATTTAAAAATATGCGGGGGGAGGTGGAAAAAAAATAGGTCCACCGTCAAATAAAGAGGAATTAAAAAAAAAATTTAGAGGTGGAAGTTATTAAAATTTAAACATAATCTTCTATATACATAGAGACAAGTGGGGTAATTGTATATGTTTTTCCCAGGAATATTTAGCAGCTTTTATTTTATTTTAAAAGTTCTGGTTCTTATATGTGTTACTATCATATTAAATATAACATCGAAATATAATTATGTGTATTTATCATTTGAAATACATTTACAACTAACCCAAATTACCTTAAATTTGGATTTAAAAAAAACTTTAATGGTAGATTATAATGATTTACATTTTTATCAATTTCAGCTTACAATTACTGTGGCCAAACTGGTCTCGTAGAAAAAAATTGTCATATAAAAGGTAATAACTTTGTATAATTCTCATTAGTATAATCTATTATTTAGTTACCAAATATTGGGTTATACTTTCAATGAGTGTTTATACATACAAAATGTTTATTTTGTCATATACTTAATTGAGACTAACACAATTATTGCTAATTTAAATTATTTTTTAGATGCTGGTCTGCCTCCTATGGATCCCTAAATGTATAAATATTGTGGTCTCCCCGGGCACGGGGAAATGGCATGTCATGTTAAAGGTAATATTTGTGATATATATATATTTTTTTTATTTAATAACATTCTAAAAGTATTTTTTTCTTATCCAAAAACTGAATTTTTTAATTTTTGTGTTTTGTTTAAATAATTCACTCAAGCCTATATAGGTTAATGCTGACTTATTTTAATGTTGCGTGTTTAATAAATGGTATTGTCAATTGTTACTAGATCAATCATGAAAACTACACTATATAAACAATTTTCATAATTATGATCTGTTTTTACCTTGATAATAAATCCTTGTTTTTTAATTATAGCAGGTGGATATCCACCAATAAAGACAAAAATTTGTGAACACTGCCATTTCCCAGGGCACGGGGAACAAAAGTGCCACATTAAAGGTACTTATTTATTTTAATATTTTTTTCATTTCATTTTTTTAAGGCCAGTTGACAACATTTGTAGGATGCATTTTATATTTCTGGTTTATTTATAAATAGTTCTATGGTAGTTGTAAGTGATAATTTATTTTATAATTTAAACCTACCTATAAGTCAACCTATGAAATTATATATTTTTAATATATTGATAAACTAATTTGTACCAATTGTTTTTAATATTTTATGAATGTGAAAGCTATTAAATATTATTTTAAAAACACTTCCCAAGTCTAGTCAGAATGTAGATATTTTTTTTATTTTTAAAAATTTTATTATAGGGTTAAATTATTTTACTAAAATAATAATGAAAAATTAAAAAAAAATGTTTATGTTCATTTTTATTGTCTACTTAAAAAGGATATAAAAAAAACAATTGATTAAAAGAAAAATTCTAACTAACAACAATTTTGATTGTAAAATTTTAAGTTCTATAACATTTTTTATTAATAAAAACTGCTAAATGAGTTTTAAATATGGGGAAAAAATATATTAAAACGTAGACATTTTTTTATAGGTTCAATTTAATAAACACTTAATCTCTTAATAAATCTAGTTTAAAATTTTATGTTGGCTTATGTAATTTTACACACATAATAATACAAATTACAGTGGTGCAAATTTTAGAGGATGCTACAATTATGGTTTATGAAATTGAAGATTCTAACAACTTTTTTTTTTCTGTTTAAATTTTATGAAACAATGATAAAAATACAATAATCATACAATTATAAAGCAAATTAATAGTATGAATTATCAAAAGATTTCTCAATTCCCTAAACGTTGAACCACTGTAAAACAATACATATAGGATAACTAATTTAAACAATAACATATTATTTTTTTTTTAGTAGCAGGATTGTCGCCGCTGCCATCAAATCAGATTAATGATGAATGAATAAAAATCAAAAATAATTTAAAAAAAAATATTTTTGCTAATTTATTTTAAAAAAAAAATTTTGTTAATTTGTTTTTTTATGTCTTTCCTCATTGTATTTAATACAAACTTCATAACCAGGTAACAAAAACATTTTACACATTTTTCTGACAATCGTCCAATTAGACCATCACATTAATTCGTCGATCTAATAGAATATTACAATTAATTAAAAAGAACTGCCTAATACGTTTGATAACGTATTGACGCACGTATCGGCCTTGTCAACTTGCATTTATGACAATAATCGTAGACGAGTCCCGGTAATTTCATAACACATCCCGAAAGCTGACATTTTACATGAATTAGTTTTGACATAATTTTAACATAATAGAACTATTATATTAAGTTATTGAAATTTATATATTTTATCGTTCAATACATATTAATTCATCAGCATAATATAAAAAGTCGTTAACAGTTGTTAATTTTTTTAATTTTTTCTACCACGATTTCATTTACAAACGTATGATACAATTTTTTTTTAAGACGTAGAACATTGCATTTTTAACTTTCATACCGTCTTTATTAAAAAGTGGGAATTTAAGAATATATAGATGATTATAACGAAATTACAGAAAAACTAAATGAGTCCCCGCCAAGTCAACGATTTTACGTGTAATAAAATAATTTTAATAAACATAAACTAAGTACACAGTTCTATATATTTTATAAAGCATAAGTAAGAGGTACTCGAAAACGCTAATAGCCTTTTAGATGAATTAAAAAAAAATGTGACCCCTTCAAAAATTTTGTCCAAATTACGCTGTAGAATAAAATCACTGTTAAAAACATTATTTGTTAACGAAAAAATGCTTTAAGAAATTTTGTCAAATCTGTTCAACAATCAATGCCGTCCCACTTGTTAATTCTAATAAATGAACATAATTTGTTTATAAATTTAAATAATGAATTCCAGACTTCGGACTGTCTACTACAAATCATTTATAAATAATTGATGACTTATAGTAGGCGTGGTTACAATGAGTGTCTACAATTTTTTAACAACCTAAAAATTTGAATGACAATTAATATTTTAAAGAGAATTTGTTTAAAAAGAGTAAAAGCAAAATACTATTTATCTGTAAGAACAGTCTATTATGATGATTAAAGTAACTCTAATATTGTAATTATTTTCTTATTACTATTCGAAAATTGATATATTAATTCTTAATTACAATAGTTAACACTTGCATTACTCGGCAGAATACTATTGAATTTAATTAGTATGTACTATATAACCGATGAATTATAATATTAAATTATTTATTACATTAATACTTTAGGTATTATTTCTTTTTTGAGAACTTTTCATTAATCTTAAAGACATTCTTGTTTCATATTTTCCCTCGTCACATAATATACAATAAAAATCATTATTGACGTAGTTGTCTAGTCTGTAGTTTTCAGTTATACAATTAATTTCTATCCACCGACAACATTTATTGCATGACACCCATTCCATATATTTTCCTTTATGTTTATCTTCATGCTTAGAACAGTATGGACATATATTTGTCATGTCTCCTGAGTTTTCCAATAATACTCTTTCAATAATATTTCTTTACATATTCTGAAAGCTTATAAAAAACTTTACATATGGTGTGAAAAGCTAATGGGTGAAACGTGAAGGTGTAACTGAAAATTGCAAATAAAGACCGCGCTGGCACGGCACTAGCAATTTTTTCTAGGGGGGGCAGAGCGGGGCAAATATTTTTATTCCATGGGCTAGTGTTTCAGAAAGTACTCGGACCATTTAAATAAAATATAAATAAATAGTATGTACAGTTTTAAATAGTTAAAATTTGTTGAAGAATACTGTCAAATATTTCTATTTAATATAAGAAAATGTATAATAACAGACAAGTTTCTTTAATTTCACATACCTTAGTGACTGAATGATTAAGCTTCTTTAACTTATATTTTATAAATATAAATTAAAATAATTGTATTTAGTATTGAACAGATGAATTGATTTAACTCAAATTTAACCTTTGTTTCTTTATTTTCATCCAATAATTAGTACTCAATAAATGTAATAATAAATGAATAAAATATTTTTTCTCACTTTACAAATGAAAATATTAGAAATATATTAAAATATATTTGATTGAAATTTTAGGAAATAATTTTTCTCATTAGGCAATACTATAAGGTTTATCTATAAAAAACTAAAAATGTTATTCTATCTGAATGTTGTTCATTCATCATGAAAATGTTATTAATTTCATTAATTCAATGACTATGATTAATAATACATTCAATTAATTTTTGAATTTATTGAGTAGTAGCAAATATATCAAATAAACTAAATTTTGATATTTCACACTATACCTAATAATGCACCATGTTGTAAATGGTTGAAAATCTTGTACCAATACCAGCAAAAATAATATTTTTAAAATAAAAACTGGTGATAACCTACCAAATATTTAATAAGTAGATTTCAAATTTCCAATCAAATAAATTTTTAAATAGTTGGTGTTAAATGTACACATTTAAGTACTAACTTTGTAAGATGATATAATAATTCATAGGTCATTAAAATATAAATACTCTATGAAATCCTTTTTATATTAATTAGACATTTAAACAAAATGTATAATTAAAAATGTATGAAGTAAATTTATCTTATACAATATTATTATTTAATTAAAAATTTTTAAAATAATAAGTAAACTGAACACTGTTTTTTTACATCAAACATTTATTCAAGTTAATAATATTCTTCGGTTTTTGTGAATAGCTGCAAATTTATCCACAACAACTTCCAAATCTAAATTCTTAGCAATTTTTTTTTCTATAGATAAAATTGCTATATTTGAAAGCCTTTTATTAGTCATTTTATTTCTCATGTAATTTTTAATTTGTCTTAAACTGGAGAAAGTTCTTTTAACTCCAGCACTAGATGGTGGAATGATAATAGAAATAATACAGAGTATATACATTTCAGAAAACGCTAATTTATATTTTTCAAGTAACTGCATAAAATCAAGAATTGTTTTTATCTGAATACCGTTTTCAGCTTCATGTCGCTTAATCAGTTTTGTAATTAGTGTTAGTTCTGATTCTAAGCTTTCTATGTCTAATTTATAGTGTTCAGCTAACGGTTTGATATTTGTAAAATTTAAAAATGTGTCACATTTTGGGATAAGGGCGCTGATACCTGTTAAAATTTCACTATGATCTGAAAATCTTCTATTGAGTTCACTAACCATTCTATCAAGGACTGGAAAAAATATCATTGTTTTTATATCGTTATTATTACTAATTTTTCTACTTTCAGAAGTTGTTACTTCAGTTATATATGATGAAAATTGTTTAGGAAGTTTGCGAATCCTTGTTTCTTTAACTGTTTCATTAGGAAGTTGAATATTATTTTTTTGTGCACATAATTCCACTTCTGTCAAAAGATCTTCAAACTTGTTTGAGGTGTTTCTAAATTCCATAAGGTAATTAATTAATGATTCTACTAGTAGACAGCTAGAACCCAAATCTGAATCTGGTTTTTGTAAATAATCTAACACAATTTTTATCTCACTAAATGTGTCACAAAATAAGTAGAGACAAAATATAAATTCAAAATTAATGTGAAATAATAGTGATTTAGCTTCCATTTCTTTTTCACTCTTGGATTCTAGGCTTATTTGATGTAATAAAAGTAATATCACAGGAAATGTTTTTTTTACAGCGATACAAGCAGAAATTTGACATATCCATCGAGTTTCACAAATCCTTTTTAGTTCCATAATTTTTTTTTTCGGTAATAATTTATTTTGAAGTTCTATGAATTTAGTATGAACAGTTGACCTACTAATAAAGTTGTACAATTGTTGAAGTAGAGTAATAAATTTTTCTATTTCAGGTATATTTTTACATACATCAACAATTACTAAATTTAATCTATGATTAAAACAATGTGTGTAAAGTGCTTGAGGAACATGCTGTTGAAAAACTGACCTAACCGCGTTTTGTTTACCACTCATTACATTTGCACCGTCATAAGTTTGAGCTATACAGTTTTTAATATTTATTCCACAGTCTGACAGTGTTTTATTTATGTAATCAAAAAGAGCCTTCGCATTTAATTCATTACAAGGAACATACCCTAAAAATCGTTCATTCATTATGTTATTATGATAATAACGAACCATAATAGATAACTGCTCAGTTTTGCTCACGTCTTTTGTCTCATCTGCAAGAATAGCAAAATATTTGGCTTCTTTAACTTCTTTCGCAATAGTTTCTAAAACTAATTTACTCATTACATAAAATAAATCATTTTGAATAGTATGATGAGTATATTTCGCATTTTTTGGTAATATATCTATTTTAGCTTTAAATCTTGCGTCTCTCCTAGCACAAAGTTCTAGAAGTTCTAAAAAATTTCCTCTATTGAGGCTTTCTGACCCTTCATCATCACCTCGTTGTGCAATATTTTGACAGGCTGTGAACAATAATATTTCTGAAATAACTGAAATGTAATATCGATTTTCTTTAATTAAAGATAAATTAGCCTCATTTAATGTTGTTAAAATTGATTTTGTTTTTTTGGAGTTTTTATACCCTTCCCACTTCGTCATGCAAGTTTTATGTATGCAAGATTTATTATGGCCTTTAATTCCTGCATTTTTATCAAGAGCTTTTTTCCAATTTTTGAATCCAATTTTATAAAATGGTGAATTATCAGAGTTATGAGAAAAAAATCTACAAGGAAAACAATAACAAGCATTATCTAATACACTGTATTCAAGCCAAGGATATGATTTGAACCATTCAGGACGGAATTGTCTCCATTCTTTCCCAAACTTAGACTGTGGGTAATTTTTTAAAATTGGTTGTGTTGGTGGATCACTGACTATATGTGTTATATCACTAGGTCCTATTTTAGAAAAAATATCCATTTGATTCTCAATTACCAGTTTTTGATTCTGTTCTGGTTCAACATTCTTTATTTCTTGTAGATCGTTTAACTGTTGAAAATCATCTGAATCTGAACTTCCCATTCTTCATTTTCTGTATTTTCGATTTTAATTTTTTTACTTGCCGTTTCGGTCTCTCCTTTATGTGAACTTGGACCAAAAAACGAATCGATTTTTCTTAATTTAATACAACTATTGTCTTTACTCATGTTAGAAGTATTAATCAAAAATCAAATAAAACAAATTTGCACTATATAACACACGAATAAACATACACGTACACGACAAGCCTCAAATGCATTGATAAACAAAATAAAATTGACGTCTTATAATCATCTAATAAAAACCTGTTTAAAAATAGACTATGTAAGGCGTTGACACATTGATACGAACGCGATAACGTAGGCTTGTATACACTATGAATATTATAATCACGGCATTTTGATATTTTATAAATTATAAAGCCAATGAAAGTATTAATATAAATTTCAAATATTTAAAAAGTATATTTCGTAATTTCTATTATGAAGTTCTTTTAAAAATAATGTAATGTGACTTTTTGATAGTTATTGTTANCGTTCTTTTAAAAATAATGTAATGCGACTTTTTGATAGTTATTGTTATTTCGTAAATATTTTTCAATAGGGGGGGCTGGCGAAGGGTCTGGACGGTTTTCTGGGGGGGCTCGAGCCCCACCTTGCCCTCTCTTGGCGCCGTGCCTGAGACCGCGGAAATTACTTTTTGGACAGTATGGATCTATGATGTAACATTTCCCTGAATTTTCAGGTATATTTTTGGTATCATAAATTGTTTTAAATTTTATAACAGCTATAATCCAATGGTTTGGAGTGCTCTCATACCATAGCATAATGATTGTATTATTTTCAATAAAGTTATACTTATTTGTTAATTCTTCATTCACTTCTGATTTACTTAAAACGTCAGACACTTGAGTACAGTATAATATACTAAAATCCGACTGTTTTTTAGGGACTTTAATATCCAAACAAATATCTATTATAAAGTTACTCAACCAGTTGAAAGGTTACAAAAAAATAAAAAAAAATCAAACTAATTGGCCGCAACGAAAAATTTGTAACTTTCATGGCGTTTTACAAAATTATAAGAAAATGGTCGCCAACCTACTGGGCGAGACTGTGTATTGACGGACCACAGTAGGATTTTAAAAAAATTAACTTTTGTATATTACAACAATTAACCAAAAATATAAAATTAATAACTATTAAAGTTGATGTACGTTGAGTCGTTCATAGTAGATGTACACCAGAACCGCTAAAGCTGGAGTTCCTGAGGGAAAATTTAAAAAATTAATATTAGATGTTCCAACAAGGTGGAATTCTGTTTATTTTATGATAACTCGATTTATGGAAATGGTGTCTTTTCTTAGTCCAATGTTACTCAATGATATAACTGCACCCAGTATGCCAACCGCTATAGAATTAGATATCCTCCGACAATTAATTGAATTATTACAACCATTAGAGTATGTCACAAAAGAATCCTCTGGAGAAAATTACATTACTATCTCAAAAGTGATCCCCATGATTAACTGCCTATTAAAACAACTGGCCCAAACCCAACCAAGATTTGATGTGTTGATTGAAATTAAAGATATGTTACATACAGAAATAATTAGAATATTTGGACTGATTGAGCAAGTAAAACCAATCGCCATTGCTACAATTTTGGATCCAAGATTCAAAAATCTTCACTTTACCGATCTAATTGCTAGTTCAAGTGCAATAGCAGAACTTCGAAGATTATTATTGCCAGATTTATCATCTAGCGAATCTGAAGGAGAGATGATATCTAAAGAACATGTGGATAGTTATGATTTTTGGGCTCACCATAAAATGTTAGCTCATGGCCAGAAAAAGAAAAAATCTTCATTTACATATGATGAGTTATCTCAATATCTATCCAACCCTGTCTGTCCACTAAAGTCAAACCCCTTAGAGCTCTGGGAAGATATGAAAACAGTCTTTCCCATGTTATATAAGCAATCAAGAATATCTTTTACGATGGTTGCAACATCTGTTCCATGCGAAAGACTGTTTTCAAAAGCCGGACAAGTCATAACCAAAACGAGAAACCGTCTAACAGGTTCTCGTTTAGAAAAAATTTTACTTCTTGCAGATTTACCCGAGGATCAATGGTTTTAAGTTGTAAAAAATAAAATTTTGAATAATGCATAATTTGTATTTTGTATTGTAAATATTTTTACTATTTTATTTTTGATACCTACTTCATAACAATATGTTGTATAATAATTTAGGGTGACCATAATTAGACAATTTAAATACAGGACTAAAATAATTTGCATTATTTTTTTTTTTTTAATAATATTAATTATAGTATTATTATTTCGTTTATTTTTAATCATAATAAAAAACTTAATTTAATATACCTAAAAGCATTTAATATGTGTTTGACATTATTTCTCTTCCTATAAAGCAGGCATAAAACTAATACATGGAAAATTAATAATAATTTTTATTTATTATAATAAATGAACATATGTTTTCATTTACATTGATAATAATTTTTCTGGTTGCATTTTGATTTATAATCTTTTTCTGAAGAATGTATTAAATTTGATAATTTGGGGTTTATCGTGTTATGTAATAATATACCTATAATGTATGTATATAATATAATATACATCTTTGTAACTTATTAGAGTAATTAAAAAACAGGACAAAAAGCCCGCAGATTGCAATTTTGTATACAGTATACTTGTATCCAGCTACCGATACTTTTCTTTCGATACTTACTAATATCGGTCCATTTGTTTCGATATTTTACTCGTATCGGTATTTTAATTCGATTCGATACCAAGTAAAAGTATTGATACTNTTATTTTACTCATATCGGTATTTTAATTCGATTCGATACCAAGTAAAAGTATTGATACTTTTCTTTCGATATTCTATCCCTACCGGTTCTCTTTCTCCCGCGGTCACTCGGCGTCGCGCGACCTGTCGGACGAGGAGAGGCAGCTGTGTCGCAGTCGCCATCCAGCAGTAAAGCCGGAAGTGCAATGCGACCAATGCAATCAGTTTTAAAAAATTATAAAAAAAGGGTCGCCAACCTACTGGACGAGACAGTGTATTGACGGACCACAGTAGGATTTTAAAAAAATTAACTTTTGTATATTACAACAATTAACCAAAAATATAAAATTAATAAATATTAAAGTTGATGTCCGTTGAGTCGTTGATAGTAGATGTACACCAGAACCTCGTGACAGTTATCACATAACCATATTAATCAGGGATGACCTTATACAAGGCCGTTGCCCGTACTTTATAAACTAGGGGAGTTGATTTTTGAAAGGAGAAAAAAAATACACGAGTCCATTGAAGATGGAACACGCAAAAAAAAGAAAAATATGATGGTTCAGTTAAATTAAGGGGAATTTATTAAGAAAAAAAAAATTAAGTTAACACACGAGGCAAAAAACCGAACGGTCTTCGGTTACCCACCGGCTATTAATCGCGGCATTGCTGCTAAGCACGGCGGGTATACGTCCCAAGTAAGCGACTGGTTTTAGGCAGTTAGGCTTAGCTTACAAGACGTTGGGACACCCCGGGATAAAATGCACTACGTCACCACATTGTACTATTAACATATTCATCACCCAATAAAGTATAATATAAAACCTATAAAAAAAATTACAAAAAAATATGGATATAACATGACAGGTGGTCTTGTACACGCCTGCCATGTTGTGGGACTTAAATAAAAAAAATAGGGGCACCTACACAAAAAAAATTCGCCACACGTTCTTATGGCACAGCGCACTTGAAAAAAACAAAAATAGGTATGGCTCAAAACATAAATAATAAATTATACATTACCAGCCCTGAAGGGCTACAGAAAATGGAGGCAGGATTAGCAGACGCCATAAATAAAAGATTACATAATAAACAAAATAGCGGACACTCACGAAATATATATATAAAAAATTAAAAAGTTGCAACGCACACAACAGAAAAGACCGCTACGGACGAAAATTAGCGTACCAGTTCCGACGATGGCTAATTTCCGACAACCCGTCCGACGTTTGACCCGGCGGTCCGTTGGCGACAACACGGCTAGCCTTTAGAGTAGGGATCAAAAAAAAAAAACTAAATACCCAATGTCGGAAATTATTAAGAACAATTTAAATCATAAGGCGACAATGTATGCGGTGAGCAGTGCAAATGATGTTCAAGATAGGAAAGGAGCGTGGTGGATGTACACACAAATTCCGTCCATGAACCGGTCTGAAGTAGTACACAGCTGACTATCTCGCACGCGCATAATCAAATCACAACACCTTATCATGATTATTTAACTGACAAACGCCGTCGCAGTCCGCATTCGGCTCAACACAAATATATATATATGTGGGAAATGCAAACAGGCAATTACAGGAACAGAGCGAAGACGCAATACTATTATTTAATTTATATATTTATAAATTAATACACAAAAACTCTATTAAATGTTAACAAACAAAAATAACACATATATTTAATTACACACGAAAACTCTATATAAAATATTCACACAACACAAAAATATTATATAAAAACAGAATACACATATAGACTAAAAAATATACATAGAGACACGTCTTAGCTGACTCACGACTTGACTTAATTTTCCCTTCTTATAATAATTGATATCACTATCTATCTCCAGACCCTGGAAGTGGTGCCATCTAGATACCAATGGTACTCACATATATATAAATAGACAAAAAATAAATAGATACTTTTTTCACGTTACATAGTGCAACCAGTGTCGCCATATTCTGCGGCGCGAACAATGTGTATAACAAAAAGATATATATTTAGAGAGAGATTGTAACGACTAATGTAGTGCATATTGCACCAATAAATGAAATACAAATCAATCTAATAATTAACATATGAAAAGTATATTAATTACGATGTAAAAAGATAAACTCTACTCTAAGAAAAGTCAGTAACAATTAATTTTTTTTAGAGGAATTGAAATGAATTACCCGTGCAAAAAATCCAATATAGATGACCGCAACAATCTCCAGAGCAATTATCCTGGCACAACAGTGTAGTAGAGTCTAAAAAAAAAATTAATTAAATTAATACAGCTATTTCATTAATAATATTATCAATTTAAAAATTATATCATTATTATTACAATTGCTATGACATTAACAATGATACATTTTAATAAGAAATAATCATAAAATCATATTTTTGACAAAATCAAAAGAGATGAAATGTTGAAAAAACATTTCATCAAAAACACACAACACAAAAATATTATATAAAAACAGAATACACATATAGACTAAAAAATATACATAGAGACACGTCTTAGCTGACTCACGACTTGACTTAATTTTCCCTTCTTATAATAATTGATACCACTATCTATCTCCAGACCCTGGAAGAGGTGCCATCTAGATACCAATGGTACCCACATTTCGACCCTCTTCTTGATCAGTCATCTCGACTGATTGACAGTTTTCCATCTCTTCTTCATCATCTGTATCTATTTGGCTCCATGGCTTCATATAGTCAACACCAGATGATGTTCTAATGGGACTTTCAGACTCACCAATTTTGACCATTTCATATCTGTCTGGTCCTCTACGTTTGGTTATTTGGTATGGGCCCAAAAACTTTTTATGAATTTTGGGAAGTGGCTTGAATTGTGTCCTCAAAATAGCAATCAAATCACCTAGGTGATACTTATGTGCTTCCTTTCTCTTTTTATTAAAAGTTTTACGCTGTTCTTCTTGAACTTTAAAAATTTGTTCTTTTGCTTCCTTACGCAATTTATCTCTCTCTTCCACAAAAGCATTTGTATATACTTCCTCAATTATTTTAGTCAACTCAAAATATTGAGGATTTCTCATCTCAACACCGAATGTCAATTTGAATGGTGTCATACCGATGCTTCTTTGAAAGGAACTGTTTAGTGCAATTTATACGTGAGCAACATTCTTGTACAATGTTCGGGCTGATCTAAACTTAATTTGGTAATGACTGGAATAATAATTGCTAATATTCCTGTAGTTATTGTTACATGTTGGATGTTTTCTTTTCTACAATAATCAGAAAATTCTTGTGAAATAAAAGCTCCTCCATAATCTGACATAATTCTTTCTGGATTCCCAAAAGTAGTAGACAAAGTTTTCATTTTATCAATGGCTTCCTTACATGTACTAGTCTTGGTAGGAAATAACCAACAAAATTTGCTAAAACCATCAATCACTGCAAATATATATTTGTATCCTTTAGCTGTAGCAGCTAATGGTCCCAAATGATCTATATGATAGGTAACTAATGGAAAATCACCTTTATTAATACTATTCAAGTAACCTTCCTGCTTACCACTTTTTCGACTTGCCAATATACACGGAATACAATTTCTTACAATACTCTCAATTTTTGTTTTCATATTTGACATGGAATATTCTTTCTTCAATAGTTCTTCAACTTTTTTACATCCAAAATGTCCTATTTCATGTGCTTTTTTGATTACTTCCTTTTGCATGGATCTAGGAACAACAAACAATTTTTGCCATATTTCATCTCGTACAGTAGATCATGTTCAATTAAATAGTTTTGATGAGTCGAAACAGCTAGAACTTCCATCAATGCGCTAATCTCCGAATCCATCTTTTGGGCTCTTCGTAATTTAATCAAAAATTCATTTTCAATCGCTAAGCATACAGGATATCGACTAAGAGCATCAACATGGGGTAAACGAGATCCACTTCGGTGTTCAACTGTATAACTAAATTCTTCAAGCAGTAAAGCCCATCTTGCAACTCTAGTCGCCAAATCCTTTTTTTTCATTGTCATTGTAAATGCAGCACAGTCAGTTACAATCTTAAACTGTATACCCAAGAGATTAACTCTAAACTTTTTCAATGCTTCAATAATAGCAAGTACCTCTAGTTCATAACTATGATATTTTTTTTGGGCATCACTGGTCTTTCTGCTAGAATAGTATACTGGATGAAACTACCATCATAAGCATCCTTTTGTAACAATATAGCCCCAAAACCATTAGCACTTGCGTCGGTATGTAGTTCCGTTTCAGCATGAGGATTATATATATGTAACACTGGATTATCCAACAGTTTTCTTTTCAGCATATTTATAGCATCTTGTTCTTC